GCCCCACAGATATCCAGAAAAGAGCAATTAAACTCTACAAGAGCCTGCAGGAGAAAAATCCAATACTAGCACATTCCTATTTAGGTAAAGTACCCTGTGACAGAGTATTGCACATCCAGCAAGAATGTGTACTCAGCAAAGTTGAATTCACACAACATATATGCGCAACCATTGTGTATAAACAACAAGCATATCATCAATCTTGACTGTTATCACTTGCAACTTAGGGTATGCTTAGATGCACAGCTTAACACTCTTCTCAAGGCCACAGAATTGCCTCAATACAGCCAACATTACCTGCCTAAAAAAAGTCTCTAATTTGCTTACAACAGGGCTTCAGAGATCTTCAGATCCGTGTTCATGGACAAAGCATTGACATTTGGTGTAACACTGGGTGGACTGAAAGAGCAAGCAGGTTGAAAGCCTGGTCCAGTAGTACTTCTGTAACATGCTGTTCTCAGGTGAAAACCACACTCAGGAATTAATTTATAAGAAGAAATCATTCCATAATGCTATCCTATCCAAACTAGCAACAAATTAAATACATTATCTTCACAAAGTTTTATGGAAGCCTGTTATCCTTTCCAGCACGCATGTTTAATTTACAACTACTGACCAACATCTTCTCCTAATCCACAATTCAAGTTAAATGCAACAAAGCAAAGATTATCAACTTCCAAAACCTTTCTTCCAGGCACATGTAAGATCCTCAACTAACATCATCTTGACATTTATTCTTATTAAAATTCCACATACAAAGTTGCTGCTGAGATTGACCATGGGATTAGGATCATGCTGCCTTCAAACTTCTTTAAGCATCTGCTGGAGGGCACAGCATGATTCTCAATGTTTTTTATATTCCTAATATTTATATTTTATATTCCCAATAATCTCTCAGAATGTACTAGAAACAATCTAATGAATGTTAGAATGAACAGGGAGAAGGATGACATTTCTGCAACCTTATTTTTTTTGAAAAGTCTTCAGAAATCCAGAATATTTATTGAGATTTTTTTATTATTATTATTTCTGGGTAGAGACAGCTTTGACTGATTGACTCAATACGTCAATTAGTAGAGAACTGGTTTCACACACAAGAAAAAGTCTCATGTCATGTGGATTAGCTTAATGGACAGAAAGCCACATGGGGTGTACATTTTTAATCTACTTCAAAAGGGAAAGTGATTGATGAAATGCTGTATAATATGTCCATACAGTTATGCCCTACGCTGACAAAATTAAGGTGTCAGTAGTTAGATGAGAACAGCTTGTGGATGAAGAACAACACATTGATGCTGAATCAAGAAAAGACTAAAACGAGCAGAGAAAAGCACTTGCTGAAGTTTCAATCCCCAGCGTTGTCATCTTCGGTGTGAATAATAACTCTTATATTGTCAGTCAGCAGATTTCCATGTCACACTGCTTTTCCCTTGACTTCTCATCAAGCAAATCATGAGGCTTATGGTGCTTTTATTTAGGCTCAGTTTTTAAAAATAGGTTCCAAAACCTTCAGGAGGAGAATTGCTGCTGACAACTTTTGCCTAAACCACAGAATAACTTTTGTGATTCAGGTAAGAGATTATCTGTGCAACATATTGAGCATTCTTGTGAGCTAGTTAGAATATTGAAAGGACTCCCACAGAAATCAGCTGGCTGCTGTCATGAACCTCATCACTGTTCGAAGTGCACTGAATTACCACAGGTCATTTTGGGGGAAAATAAACACACTTAACAGAGAAAAAGAAGAAAAATATAAGTGATACGGTTGGCACAGAATTCTTCCAGTTAATTATGTCTGAACTGTTACCCAAATTTTAAAATATGCATTTATGAAATTTACTATACTGACTTTTAAATAGCTTTCTGTTTCATGTACAGTGGGAAACAAACACTTGGACTTATGTTGATTTACAAAACCATTGTTTGTGTTCCACTCCAGCCTATAGAGATTATTCGCTTAGGCCTCCATCGTGACATTTGAGTACAGAGTTTTGTGCAAACTTGCTGAGTCACACTTGCTCAGAGTTTGTCTCTGCATGTGGTAAAAAATACACACAATTGCATACAAGACCACTGCTCACTAATGGTTCTCCTTTGAACACTTTACATCATTTTCCCTTGACTTTCCCATACTTGGCAATATATAATATAATCAGTCACCATAGAAATGAATGTTCTCAGAAACTTCCTCGAGTTTCAAAAATCAATTACTCAATCTTCGTTCAAGACACAAATAAAAAGACAAATCAAACATGAAGTAAAACCTAGAATAGGCACATTTTTTTTTCTCGTGTTGAGAGAGAACCTGAAATGCTACTCTTAAACTCTTCTTAATTTACAGAATTTTAATTGCAGCTAAATAAAATCAGATCTGAACTGAAAACTTACTGGTTTTGCTTGCTTAAAACAACTTCACTTTTTATTAAATTCACCGCATCTCATTTCTGATCAGAAAGTTTAAGGAACTGTCACAGAATGAAAAAAATACATCCTCTCAATAAGGTGATGGCTTCCCCCCTGCCTCGTTCATAAAACACTGCTTGCAACCAGCTTTATCTAAATGAGCAATCTAGGCTTCAGAGATCAGGCTAAAAAAACACATTTCTCTCCAGTAAGAGAGTCTCCTATTAGCTGCTGTCACACTTTAATATTGATCTGGAACCTTGAACATGTCTTGCTTCAACTTTTTTAAAGGCACTAAGTTCCACTGGGTGTTGGCATTTATATTCATAGATTCCAGTCATGCTCAGCTAGCAGCAATTAGAAGACATCCCTCGAGTAACAGCATTTCTAAAAATATTCTGTATGCATCACAGAAGATGAAGTACCCCTTTCCTCTAAAGTAATGTAAGCTGTACATTCAAGTATAATTAGCACACTAGACTTCGTAAATAGTATTAAACTAATTACAGTTTGCACCACTAGTGGCAGATGTGGTTAGAGATTATTAATTACAGTGGACAATTTTGAATTCAACACACCAAATTGAAAGCATTTTTTCCACTTTATTTCGTGTCTGAATGGCTATTTGCTGAGCGACTGGAGGACTTTTAAGCCAGAAGGAGCTGCTATTTACAAAAATGAACAAAGCAATAGGTTTTATTTTCTCAAATGAAGAAAAAAAGTTGTTCATTGACAAGGACATAGTTATTTTTTAAAGAATAAATTTCAATACAGACTTACCGTGAATCAGGAAACCTATTCTACTTAAGTGCTACATCACTGGACAGGCAGGCTGTTTTATCTACATCTACATGAGCTTATTGGAGCTGTTCAGATGGACTTTATAGCAATATCTAAAACTTTCAACACGTGTGATGAAGTAAACTGCTCCTCAAAAATCTAGATCTGTAAATAAAACTCACCTATCTCTAGGCCAAGGGTTACTTAAAATAGAGCAAGACAGTCATTCCCTAGCTTCAGTATAATTTTCTGCTGAATGTTATCATGGGAGTAGGAGAGGTAAGGCTGTAAAAAGGAGCTGTCTCTCCTTGATTTTTTCTAGGAATAAAGTAAATAAATACAAGTAATAAAGTTTAAATAGCAACTAATAGAATACACTCAGAAAAGGTGTTGCAGTTTTAGTAAATGCTGACAGACTTCCATTAAAAAAAGGCACATTTTTCCATCAATACAAGTCACACTGATAACCCGTAAAACACACAGAAGTTATAGTAATTGTTAATAAAACAATTATTTTTAAAAATTGAGGTGGTTCCAGAATGATGTTATAATGCAGCAAATTTCGGGCTGACAGACATGTAGGAAAATATCAGTAGGCATTCATACCTCATCTACATTTAACTTCCTTTTATAGAACACTCTTTTCCATATTAAAGTTAAACTGCTCCATTCTGTATTATATGCTCACTACTAATTGGTTAGATTTTTTTGGATAAGATGCATTGATTCAAATAATACTCTTCATAGGTTGTGAGAACTAATGAAAATAAACACTATGTTATTTGAATTTAAATTTTTTTCAATTTTAATGTTTTAACTTAATTATGCTTTACTAGCTAAGCATTCAATTAACATGCACACCAAACAGGATGCAACACCTAAAAATATTTCATTTCATTTCTATGGTCAACCTTTCTTCTCCAGCACAATCCCTAGGATCGCTCATTCTTAATAGCACAACTTGCTAAAACAAAGCTGCCAGTCAAGCTGACTTAAGTGCTATATTCAGTGTGCCTTTAACCTGATTTCAGTACAGACACACAAATTTCAATTTAAATTAAATGCCCATTCCAATTACACTCTCAGTGAGAACTCACAGACAAATGGGACAAGTTACAAGGATTTGTCAGTCACTAAATCAAGCCCTTTAATTTCCCTTTTTGCTGACAATTATTTTCCAACACAATTCTGGTTTTAACCAGCCTATCTGAAAGCTCAAAGTAATCAATCAAACAAAAAATTTTGAACAAAACATATCCTTAGTGTCAGGCAAGGCTTAAAGCACATGGATTTTATTATTCCAATACAATTTGCAAACACTTAAGCTTAAAGATATTAAAAAAAAAAGCACACATGACAACGATAACTCACATAATTGCTACAAACTGCTACTCTTGTTAATTTCAGCAAGAATAGAATTCATGAAGTGGAATAGTCAACCCTCAAGCTGGTCTTTCCAAGCTATCTTGAGAGTTCAACAGCATACTAAGAGGGAAAAATTTACACTGATGTGTAACAAAATCCTTGCTTATGGAATCAGGTACAATATTTATTTGAAAATAATTTTAAGAAGTGCTATTTCTAAATCTTAAGCAAATATCCTCCTCATTCTCTGTAATTTCTACACACAGTAAACCAAGTTTGAATGTCTTAGATTTTGAGAAAATAAATCTCTTTATATTTTTTTTTTCTGTCAAGTAGAACCACAATACAATTTAAGTGGTAATTCAAACAGCTTCTAAATCCTCAAAATATTTCATTTATCAATGGGATTTGGCCAATTACCCTGCAACTATTTAATCTGTTGCCAGACTTACAGTCAAGTGATGGATCGTCAACAAGGCAGGATGCAGTGTTATTGCTTCAAACGTTGATAAAGTACTCTTAATCAGTTCTTCTGATGCAGCTGGACCTATTAGTAAAAACCATTACATTTATTTAAAAAACACAACCTCTATGCAGTGCCTACATGTAAAAGTGCAAGTAATACCATGGGTTAACTTACCTATTGCTCCATCCAAATTTGTTTCTCCTGACTCTATCGATCTAATAAAATTCTACAGAAAAAAAAGCATTTATTTCAAAACATGGCAGAAACAAAAATTAAGAGGCATAATCACTGAATAATTGCAAAATGAAATTTGAAGGATTGAGTAAATACAAAATACTGATGCACCTGCGGTTCTGATAATAATTTAGATATGAAAGACAACATGTTCATAATCTGGCAATTATAAAATAGTTTTGCAAGTCTTTAATGCTGCTGGACAGTTAAACATAGAGTACAGTAAGGGTCATTACTTTGACTTATGTAAGGAATGACAGCATTTCTAGCTAAATAGGCAGTAATTAAATGTCTTACTTTATTGTTAACAGAAAACTGTACTTTCTAAAAAGCCTTTGAACTACCTTAGATATGGCTATGCTAAAATAACTCACTAAAAAGACCAAAGATTCTCCTAGAAAATGCAATTTTCTGTTATTTGGACATCTTTTTGATCTCTATGGCTGCTATGCTTACTACTTACAAGATAGACTTGCACGCATACAAAACATACAAAAAGGCACAGCCTTCTACGAAGTATCATCTAAATAACTCATCATTCAGGAACAGGAACAATGAAGTATGAATAATCTTAGATAAGTATATATTGTACAAGTACACCTGCTATTCTTTTGCCTTTTAATCTTGATTTCATTCTCTATCTTCTACTTTTATGCATAGCTATCTATTTAACAGGAGATACAAAAGACACACTAATGACACTTGCTAGAGAAAGAAAAATATCAGCGGAATTTATCATGTTTTTAATTACTTACACAGTATTTAATATAGAGTGAATGCATTATGTGGATACATGACAATACAATGGATGACACCTTTCCAATTTTCAATGTACAAACATATCTCTGTATGGTTACGTGATGTAAAACATCAAGAAAATGTTCATTCTGAACCACTTATTTCATACTGCGCAATCAATTAAAACTTTGTTGTTACATATTAGAACAGCAGAAATGCCTATATGGGTTACTTTTCCTCTCTGTGTAACAGACATCTAAAGGATTCATCTCTGATTAGAAATTCTGATAGAAGTTAACTGTATATTTCATAATATAAAAGTACCTCAGAAGCGATAAAAACAATTGCTTCTATAAAACAGCAGGCGTTTTATCTTCCTAATCATTTGAAAAAAAGTATCAGTTATGATCTAATTAATTTGTTTTGGAAGAGAGCAAATTACATTGTTTGTTCATTTAAGGCCACTTCATTTACAAGCATAATATTAAGACCAATCTGAAAAAAATCAACACATTTGGTGCAAAAATTGTTTTGGCTACTGTTGCTTATTTCCTTAATTTTCTTTTACGAAATTAAGACCAAGAAGAAGGTGCATTTATGTATCATTTGTTGTTTTTTTGAGCAATGGAGGGGAACTGTGCGTATTCTATGACAAGCAAGTCTCCCCAGTGCATTCCACTGGGAGCCTACTATTAGGTGAGCCTTTGGGGCAGAGCAAGTCTCTTCCGTGTCTTTGTATTTACAGCTGAAAACATGAAAGAACTGTCCCAACTCCTTCTCAGTTTCTTTTCATGGGAGCACTGAGAATTACAGTGATGATAGAAATAACTTCAAAGCAGTAAGAAAAAAGATATTTCTCAATGAACAACAGTTACAGGAAAATCAATACTTTTTTCCTTCCAAATACCAAGTACGCATCTTTCCACTCCTAATCGTTTCTCATTGTAATGAGTAAGATTGTGGAATAAATTAGGAAAATAAAAAACAAAACTTGAAGGACTAGCTTGCTCAAGATTTAGAGGCCTCACATAAAACACAGTACTTTAAAAAAGTACATGCTGAAGATCGAATGTCCTTTTACGGATGTCAGTGGGAATGTTGGTAAGCAAAATTCCAGAGTAGACTGCTCCCTGGTAGAATGGATAGTTACTCTTTCAGAATTAATTACACAGTTATATAAAATAGACTGCTCTCATATATGTTTTTCAGTTGTATTACTTCCCCACAGTTTTTATGCATAAATTGAAATAGTACATTTAAGCTCCTGAGTTGCCTACTTTGACGGAGACAAGACACAGGAAACAGTCCGTCAAGTAATTTTCTTCTCCTTGATCTGAGAGGAGAGCTGTATGAACATGATTAGCCTAATTTCCTTAGTTGTTCAAGCAATTTGAAGAAATGTCAGGAGAAAACTTATGTTGTGCTTGGTCTACTGTACCTGTACTGTTGACAAAGAAATTTCACCTTCTAAAAGGTTGATCCAAAATCATTAATAAATCTACTTGCTATTTACAAGCGCTTCATAGTGACAAAAGACTTTCTAATTCAGTTTCTACATTTTTTTATTTTATTCCAATGCGAATTTTTCTATAAAAAGTTTCTATAAAAGTTTCATGAGTCCTAATGTAAACCCATATTTTCTTGGAAACAAAAGAGAAAGAGAAGTGAACATGAATAGTAAAATTTTACTTAGCTGTTTATGGTGAAGCATTTCTTCTGCATGCAATTGTGGAAGTCAATATATAGCTGTCCTTTAAGAACGTGTGCACTTAAAAGCATTTTATTTTTATTTTTTAAACTCTGATATGCAGTTTTAGAAATTGGCTTCTTCCTCATTCAGCAGAAATAACTGCTTTATATACAGAAATTACATTACAATTGTACTACTTCATTTTAACTGTATTACCTTATGGGACAGTTAAAAGTTCATTTTCCATCACTAATGTCATAAATAATTTATAGATTTACAAGACTAATTTCTCTGTAGCTTGTAATACTCAGCTTTTTATCAACTAAATACAGAGAAAAAGTACAGGCAACCTTAATTTATGTCTCATTTTTAGTCCTGGTTTCAGCAAAATTTCTAGAAATAATATTGTGTGCAATTCAGAGATAAATCTACTGTAAAATAAAGCACACAGAAAATTTTCTATATATCAGAGATACAGAGCCAGATACATATTTTCCCTTCAATTCACTAGATTACTAAAGAAGACATTTTCTATATGTTTATAGAATATATACATCAAATATATATATTTGATAATATATGTAGCTTTCAATAAAAGAGAACAGAAGAGATTTGAACAGAACAGTTCATTTAGAAGGGACCTATAAAGATCACTGAGTCCAACTGCTCGACCACTTGAGGGCTAACCAAAATCTACAGGCATGTTAAGGAGGGCATTCTCCAGAAGTCTCATGAGCACCAACAGACATGGTGCACCAGCCACCCCTGCAGGGAGCCTGCTCCAGTGCTCTCACAGGACAGAAATGTTTATAATATCCAGTTTGAGCCTCCCCTGGTGCAGCTCTGTGCCATTGTGGCACACGCTGCTACTGGTTCTCAAGAGCAGAGCCAGCACATCCCTCTGCATCCTCCTCATGGAGCTGCAGAGAGCAGTGAGGTTGCCTCTCTCTGCAACCCGAGTGCCATCAGCCCCTCCTCAGAGGATACACCTTCCAGCTCTGCCACAGAATCATAGAACTCATCAGCTTTGTCGCACTCCTGTGGATTTATTCAAGTACTTTAACATATTTCTTATATTGTGGAGCTCAGAACACAAGATGCAAGATGAGACTGCATCAATGCTAAATACAGTGGGAGTATCACCTGTTTTTGCCAGCTGGCTGTGCTGTGTTTAATGCACCACAAAATGTGGATTGCCTTCTTGGCTGCCAAGGCACACTGCCTGCTCATGTTGAACCTGCTGTCGCCAGCATCCCAGGTCCCTTTCTACTAAGAATCTTGTTCTCCAACCTATATCTGTGTCTGGCATTGCTCTGTCCCAGATGGAGAGCCCAGAACTTAACTTCATTGAATGTCACGCCACTGAAGACTGCTCAAAATCAAAACTAAACATATGTATTCAGAATAAAGATGTCTCTCCAATGTATAAATCTAAGGTAATTTCTGTGCATTAAAATCCCAAATTTTTATGCAAATGTATTTTTTGCAAACACCATTTAATTTGGATGTTCATACTCACAAGTAAGGTCCCATAGTTGAAAAGAAACTCCTCTGTGACAATGAGAGGACGAAATACCTATTTGAATTTAGCAAAAGTTTAAAAAGTTAGAGTAAAGAGCACTTCACAGTCATGTTGGCAAAGAAGGCAATGTATGCATTTGCTTTTATCATTAGAGTTATCCTACAATATACAAAAACAAGGTTAGATTTTTAACACAGCTACTTAGCTGAAATACTCAACAATAAAATCACACATTAAGCTCTATTTCATCCATGCTGATTTTAATCGACAGAAGTTAGATTCTCAGAAACCAAAGGAGTTTGGGAAAAAAAATCTACCTGGGATGTCACAAGATGAAGCACTACAGGCATCATGGGAAGGTACATCTTCAGCTGTTTGGCCTGAACTGTTGATGGGTGTTTGCGTCCAGAGACATTAGTTAAGGTGTTGAGAATGTCACCTACAGAAAACAACATTTCAGATTGATCTAAAGTAATTGATTTACTCAAGAGAAAATGACAAATGAAGTACTTCTGTTCCAGTATATCTCTGCAAGCCTATCTTCTCTCTCCTGATGAAATCTGTGTTCATGTGCATGATGATAAAAATCAGGCTGATCCAACACTTTTATTTCCTATTTAGTATTCAAACAGGTCAATCTCCTGCTCCTGCTACAAGGATAGGCACATAAATGCTACTTCTGGCAAAATGCTGAAGCTAGAAATATGAGGCAGGAGTAGAAACAAAAGTGAAATTACTCCTCTCAGCAATGGCACTTATACTGGCCTTCAGTGATTATATCAGCATGGAATTACACTGTTGAAATGCTATCAGTACAATTTAATTCCAGTGAAATCAAAGGCAAAATTCTCACATCTTCCAGCTGACCAAGAGCTTCACCTAAGTCAGTGACATATAGCATCTTTTTCCTGCAGCAATAGTACTACCAGAAGAAAGAAACAAGCAAGCTCCTCTGCTTCCTAAAAAGCCCTCAGCTAGCTGTGAATTTGTACACAGGGGTTAAATAATGATGTAAGTTACCTGAAGCAACAGAACTTTTCATCTTCTGATAGAAAGAGTTAGCAGCAGGTCAGTGACAGAACTTGGTCCATAACAAAAGACAGACATAACAATAAGGAAACAAAATTCTAATTTGAATAGTGAAAACTGTACTTCACACTTCAAAGAAGACACGTAAAATCATGCTTCCATTGTGCTACATTATTGTTCTAGAAATCCAAGACTACTTCTGCATGGAGTTAAAAATAGGGGGGAAAAAAGAGAAAAGTCATAGCTTATATGTAAAGAAAGAAAATCCAATCGTTTTTGACTGAAAATTCTATAAGTCAAACCCTGTCCCGAAAATGCACCTCCTATATGTCTTCCCTAACAAGAGAACTACACAGAACTGTAAACAGGGAATCACATACATATGAAACAAATAAAGGACACGATTCAGTATTTTAGACAATTTTCATGCCAGGCCAGGCCCTTCCTTTGAAAGTAAGTAGCAGTTTTCTCACATTGAAAAATAACAGTGCTTTTCCTCTTCTTCCCTGGAGTCTAATTTTCAACACAAGCAACTAAATTCGGTTGTAACAACACTTAGCCTTAGCCCTGAAGATTTGAATCATTCAATAATATAACACTCATGAAAGTGTTGCCTAAACTCCAAATATGTAAAACGAAATGTTGTTTCACCAATGCATTTTTAATGAATTGCAAAATTGGAATTAACATACATCTCTGTGGTTACCAATAAATAGTCACTGAAACTTCACTCTGTATGTTTTAATGTCTGTGTATTCACCAGATTCATCAGTTTCGATAAATAGGCATAGCTATTTTAATTCTTAGTTTGACATAAGCAAATTACATTTATCTTCTAGAAATAGGTTAAATACCAGAAATACCAAAATAAATTTACTCCCATACCTACAACAGCTGAAAACTTAATTAATAAATTAATTAATTAATTAATCATCAGATTATCCTTTTATTTCATTTATTTCAATGTATCTCTAATGGCAGTTTCTACAATTTGTCAATCTATTCGGTTTATAGCTACATCTGGTGGAAGAAGATGGTATCAGTAAGAAGCTTAAGTAAATGCATATTAAAAACTACCTAGGATTAATTCTAAATCAACGGTTAAACTGCTTTTAACTGCTCCACTTTACAGATCTTGTCATTTTTCTTAGGAGATCATAATTTTTATCTCTTCAAGCAGAACAGGATCCTTCATTATACCCTCAAAAATAGAAAGCAAAAGCCTTCGACAGATATGGACAGATATCTTAATAAAAACAATCAAAACACAAATCTAGATTGAAAAGGCAATTTTAATGTAAAATTAAGCTTGAGATATCAATTTTCCAAACAATCAAACAATGCATTAATTTTCTACATCAGTACTAGGAAAAAAAAAAAGAAAGAAAGAAAAAAAAAAAGCAGCAGAAGCCCTGTTAAAGAAATAGATGCATTATTTTTTAATAATAACAGTAACTATATATTTGATTTATATCACTTTTCAGGTACTGAGACTTCCAAATCCTACAATGTACTCAACATTTGAACCTGGTATTTAGTTTGAATCAGCTGTTTGGAACAGGGCAAAAAGTTGCATTGACATAGGAATTAGTTTCTTTTAAAATAGCAACATGACCTTTGCAGTTTCACCATTTCATTTTCAATATTCTGGCAATAACATAGATGATGAAAAATAGATCACCAATCATCACACAGAAAAATAAATGTATGCTTTTTCTTTTCCCCTACTATTTAAAGACAAGCCATAAACATTCAGGGTTGGTTTAGCTCCATTTCTCTTCTTGAAGACTTTCCACATTCCTTCCTCATCTTGCTATTTATCTTTCTTATTCTGTTCTGTGGGAGATCTCACCCTCCAGAAGCTTTTATAAGCATTTTAATACCTATGATTCAGACCAGCCACATCAATCTCATATTTTCTCCTTCCTTCTTTCCTTTTCCCTCTTTCCTTCTCTTTATCCTGGAAAGAAATTTTCCTGACATTCCCTGAAGTTTAAGTTTTTAAAACATACTCGTAGATACGCTGTTACATCTCCCCTTGCTCTGTACTATATAATGCAAGTCTGCTTTTAGGTTTCCAATCATTGGAATACCATTAGAACATCAATAAAACTTCTTGTACAATTGGGCCCCTTTCCTGACTGAGTTGAATCTCACAGTCCAGGCTGCGATGCAAAATATCTGATCATGACAAAGCCAAGAAAATTCATGAAGTTGACAACATGCAAACTTCATATAATCAGAAAACACAATCTTTCCATCTGTATATGTAAGGAGATACAGAAGTATTTCTCAAAAGTAAGTTAAAAAAAAAAGTGCGTAAAGACAAGATTTGCTCAGTTAACCAACTCAACTTACCTAGAATTCCTGGCAGCTCTTGTACAATGTGATGGATGAGAAGATCCAGGCATTTTGACAGGTATTCATTGCCGCTTTGCTGCTCTTTTCCTGCTGTGGTCTTTCTGCTGTCTCTTTCAATATACATCACAAGCCTACATTTAAGCATGTGCAAAATGTTACATCTCATAATACCAAACTGACACTATATCTGTAAAATACTACTGCAGCATGCACTTCTAGTACTTGTGGTTACAATCCAAAGAAAACATTTGTGAATATTCATTTTGTTTAAATTTTGGGGTCTTCCCTTCAAATAAATCAAATTTTAAGATGAAATGATTATGACAAGGAACAATAGGAAAAAAAAAGTACTGTAAATGCAGCTTTACTAATTTAAGTGAAGATACGATACTAATATAAGGAATGAATTAATTAGGGATAGAAATTCACTTTATTTTGAAACACATGACCAATACACTCACTATAAGCTGAGACCAAAGACAGTCTTTACCAACAGGTAAGAATTCCAAGAGCCAAACTAATCTTTCAGTCAAGAAAAATCATAGAAAATTAATCATAAAATAAAATGCTAGCATTACTGAGAATGGCTATAAAGAAAGAGATAGAGAAGTCTAACTAGCATTATACCTTTCTCTGGAAATACGATTCCAGATTTCTAAAGACAAAACCCAGTGCTTACATTCTAACTGACAAATGCTGTAAAATTATTCTGTTCTGCAGAATGACACTTTTCACAGTAAACTATGGTAACCAATTTATTAGCCATTGGCTAACTTACAAGAGATTGCTTTAATAACACACCTATAACAGAATGCTTCAGGCAATATTATAAAATACTCATTTGAATAGACAGAAGGGCCAGATTTTCCTTTAGGGGCCTAATATTGACATCTCTGTTTCATACTCAAACTCCCAGGGGGTTTGGCACACAGAACCATCACTGGTGACTGAAAACCATGCTCTGGATTTTAAGAATGTACTTTAGTATTACCATTTTTCTTACACACTCTTATTATAACCAATGCTCATCTTAATTAACCTGCTTCAGGTACATACAACAAAACTGAAGGATCATTAACACAATTTTTTATGCTAGCAAGTATGTATTTCTATCATAGAGATTATTTACTCAATTAAGTAAAAGTTACTCAAGAACAAATTTTGCAGGATCAAGTGTCCAAACAATGGATGATTGATTGCTAAGGAATGTTACAGCTCACCTGATCCTTCCTGAACTGCGTTACAAAGATGAAGATAGAGAGAAATCACAAGACCCATTCACTGACACTTTCAGCTCTGCTTTCCATGGACTATGGGGACGTCTTTGACATTTTAACACAACTTCCAGAGATTGCAAGATTACAATGATTTCTCACTTGTGTAGGATGTGAGAAATACTTAAAATCTGACAATGCTCTAAATAGATTTTTTTCTTTCAAATGCTTTACATTTAAATATATATATATATATATGGAAGAACATTTTAAATTGCAACAGTATAAACCTAGCCTTCCCAAACAACTAAGTATTTTATAGAGAATCTGTTTGTGTAAATACATGTGGTTTCTTTCTGTTTGTCCTCCCTATCACAGAATTGTTCTTCAGAAGGATTTTTTAAAAATAAGCACAATTATTTTTCCTTGACAGTATTCTTCAAATAACTGCTGTCTGAGAAAACTGGACAAATTCATATATGGTCAGAGAAGCATTAGTATCTTCATTTTCCTTCAACAAATCCCTCAGTCTTTTGCAGAAAATCAGTTATTTTTAATGCCTGAACAGTCTTAGTGTTCTGTCTAATGAGCAAAATCAGGCCTGTGAAAGTGTTACACTTTTTAAATTTATTCAATCTACATGTTTGTCATGCACTCAGCAGTACATGAAAAAGATATACAGGTGTTAATAAGTTATACATCATTAAGACTGATTGCTTATATGCATTATACTACATACTCCTCATATTTCTCAAACATCTTTATAAAATGATTTGAGTTATAGAATCATAGAATGGTTTGGATTGGAAGGGACCTTTAAGGTCATCTGGTTCCAACCCCTGCTGTAGGCAGGGACGCCTCCCTCTACACCAGGTCACCAGGTTGCTCAGAGCCCCATCCAGCCTGGCCCTGAATGCTTCCAGGGAGGGGGCATGCACAAACTCACTGGGCAACCTGTTCCAGTGTCTCACCACCCTCACAACAAAGAATGTCTTCCTATTATCTACTCTAGATCTACCCTCTTCCTGTTTAAAGCTATTTCCCCTTGTCCTGTTGCTACATGCCCTTAAAAAAAGTTTCTCCCCAATAAAAAGTTCCTACCCGAAGTTCTTCCTACATAAAACATAACAAATAGTTATCCGAGTTCTTGCTACTGTACTAGAAATTTTTAATTTATTAGTATTAGTTGCTCTGACAGAACTGGAGATATTTATCTAAAATACAGTGTTGAATTACTATTAATAAAAATCAAAGAATATCCATTATCTCAGCTGGACTTAAGAAAAATTCTTTCAGAGTTCAAGATATTACAAAAGTAGGAGGCCCCACACAAAATAGCTCATTTCTCCTCTCTCATCCTACTGTAATCATCTTGTACTCTGAATATAAGATAAATGTTTTAGTCTAGATCATTTGCCCTGCTAAGATACACTGTTTGCTGAAGAGAAATTGTAAAGCAATCACAGCAAATTAAGAATAGCAGCTTATGAATTCAATAGAGCTGCTGTAAGTCTTACCTGTTGTTTTAACTACTGTGTTACATGTTTTGGTCCCTAATCTGCTCTGCCTGGAGCATCACAAAACAGCAGCACAAAATTCACAACACAAAATAACAGCCCAAACTCACAACACATTTTCTTCAGAAATGCTGCTCAGTGGAAAGCATCATTAAGAAAACAAACAAGAAGAAAAAAAAAAAAAGAAAGAAAGAAAAGAAAGAGAGGGGATAAATAGTCAATAAATTGTATTTAAGTTCTTATCCTTCACGTAATATCTCAGGTATAGATAAACAAATAACAACTGTGAGTATGGGACAATGGTCAGACATTCCTCCAAACACATAGCTCAGTTGCATGTGCACATAAAAATGTGTAACGTGTTCAAAAACTTGCTTCAAAATCATCACACATTCTGCACTGTCCACAACACATCACTTGATAAAGCATTTTTACAAGTACAGAAGATGCACAACAGTGAATCTGGTAATCAACACTCCCTGCAATCTACCACAATTGACAAGTCTACGGATACTTGTGTGAGTGGAGGAGTATAAAATGACAGCACTCCAAAAGATGTCCACTCACAATGGTTTGTGGTATAACTCACCTGCTCCTTATCAATCCATCTCTTTGACTTCAAATACACATCTTAATTTTTCTCAAAAAGCAACATAACATACAGAAAAATTGTATTTGCTGTAAACAGTTTATAGCTACCTGCAAGTCATAACCTCTTTACTTCCAGTTTCAAATCCATTTTATTCCAAACCCACAAAAACTGGGTCTACGCTGTATTTCACTGTTACAAATACTCAAGAAAATTTCTTCCATCTTACTTCTCCACCATCTCAAAACCATGGTGACAATTTATATTCTAGCAGTCTCATTTCCTCTCATCTACATGAAAGCACTGTAGTGCAAAAAGTTCCAATAACCATTCCACTGTGATTCAAACTTAACTGAAGTGCTTTCATTTCTTGCAAAGTAATTTAAGATATAGGAACAGATGAAATATTTCATGCAAAAGTCACAGGAATTCAGTGATTGTTCTACAAATGACTTCAACAACACAGTCACAAAACATTATTCTGCTTTTAATGTACCTATGCTGAAGAGACTACAGGTTATATCAATCACATCATAAGATGAGGAAGGTACATGACAGACCTTTTATTTTGCATTCCCATCACAGCAACAACTCACTAGTGCAGTACTTATCTGACCCACCCAAAACAAAATCTGTTCCTTGCTTATCCTAACAGGGACCATCAGTTACTTTTAAAGTTTCTCCTTGTAAGCCAGAGTGGCTTCCCCTTGTGAGTAATCATCATCTGGCAACAAAAGACAAAACAGAGAACTCTCCTCTGGATATCCTCAGAAACAAAAAGATCTGCACTGCACAGAAGATAATTCATTCCTAAACACTGACTCTGAAACACAACACATTGAAAGTGACCTAGACACAACTTTGAAAATAAGCATTGCATCTCTAATCATAAATTCCATTATTACCTTACCTTGCTTGACAACTGAGAAGCAACATTTCCCTGCTATTTATTAAAACTTGCAGCAGGATCAGAAATGCTTTTGCTCGTATGAAAGTTGAAGGACTTTCAAGTAAACGAATAATTGTAGTCATAAACTCCTTGGTGGGGATAAACAAAAAAACATTAATGTTATCTTATGCAAAACAGTTACTTGCATTATACTTTATCAATGCATACATTTGAAATTCCATTTTTTCATTTCTATAACGTATTTGCATTTTTTATTACCCTTTTCACTTCATTCTCATAGCAAATAAAATCCATACAACACAACTAAATACATTTTGTCCAAAATAGACAGGCCAAGTGAAAAGCTGCCCTGTTCAACTTCTCACAAGCCATGGCAAGAAAACACTATCTGTTCTACCGTGTCCAGAATGGACTAGACAGCATTAGAATATATCCTGCCTTAAGGATGATACGATAATTTAACATCTTTAAGACTGATGAATTTTCAGAATATAGGTATACCTCAGCACCAATAAGACAAAAGGTCTACCTATTTCCATACATGGAGGAAGATAAAACACTACCTTTGTTGGATACAATTATGGCTACATCAGCTCATAAATGATACCATGGAATGAAGCAGCCACCCAGTACATAACTGCATGTTGTATATAAAGTTTTATATCCTCCTACGACACACATTTAACATGCTAAGTGTTATTCAAACTCCCTGTTTTGATGACAGAATAACCGAAAGGCAACTTCATAAAACTGAAAATCAAGACCAAACATAATTTGTTAGAGGCAAGCTTTGCAACACTTAGCTAGAAGAAAGAACATTAGTGTAAAATCCAGCCAACAAGCCATCAGATTTTACTGATACTATTTAAACTTTGTCTTCAAAACATAGATTGCCATCAACACAGACAATCAGTAAAGATGTCTCAGAAGAACAAGCTATTAATTATTCTACTAATTCTTTCTTGTCTTTTTCTAATTTAGTTTATAAATAGACACCATTCTTCAATCTTATGGTTGATGAAACTAAACTGCATAAAGATCATGCTTTAAACTGCTCAATTGTTCATGGAGCAGAACTTGGAGCTCCTTCAGTGTGAGCCTGAGCAAGAAATTTTGTAAATGATAAACAAATTAGATGCAAAGGTTGAAATTTTGGTAGTTTTTCCTTCCCTTCCCTTTTTCCTCTCCTCTCCTCTCCTCTCCTCTCCTCTCCTGTCCTCTCCTCTCCTCTTGTTTTTCTTTTTCTTTTCCTTTTTCTTTTTCTTTTCAGAAATAACCCAGAACAACCACAAAGAAAAAGAGCTGTTACAATAGTAAAGTCTCAAGCTTAGAATAACAGTATGTATAATGCTACACTGCCTGCTAACACAAATGGACCTGACAGACCAAGCACTGGGGCAACACGACATGGACAGATGCATCTACAAGCCAAAACACAGCTGTAGTTTTATTCCTCATGGTTTAGAAAGCAAGAACATTCCATTGCAGGGATAGCAATTAAACGTGCAAATAATTGCATTGCCAATTAAAACTAGTTATATCAAACTTATTATTTATGTGAGAATTCTCTAATGATCTGGCTTAAGATACAAAAGTGACATTTTATAATTTGTTTTTTTTGCGTGGTCTGATGACTGCCAAACAGCAACATTTTATCCAAAGAAAATCTGCAGCACGACTTTGCTGACCTGCAGAACTCAATAAATTATAAGAGGCAAAAACTGCTGAAACACATATATATTAATTATTAATTGTTGCACTGTTACACTGTTCCTCCCTTGCTCACAACTGTTTTGAGGTAGCCATGGAGACTCTGCAGGGTAAGGACACTGCTTTCATTACAAGCGAGCCACCCTACCACAACAAGATCATGATTGTATATAGGATATTCCTAATGATACTGCAAAGCAAATTTAAAATAAATCATGAAAAGCAATTAAGTTTTTTAACTGGTTACACAAGGTGGAAACGGACCATTATTTCAAGAAACACTGAAGATGTTATAACAAGTATTTGCTGTTTTCTGGAGTATTTTCTGATTTGCTTCTGATGAACTGCAAATATCTCCATAACATTATAATTTAAGAGTTAGATGGGAAAAAAAAGAAAAAAAAGCAGCAATAAAAAATAATTCAAAGTTACAAATCCTTTTGCCATTTCATGTCCTGCAGTGCTGTACAAATCAATCAGGAAGAAGAGATACTCTGATCTTAAGAAATGACATTGCTGAATTGTGAGGGTATGATTTACACAAAAGGTAACTGGTACCACTAGAATGCACACTCAAGAACAACCATTGAAACAGAGATGGTAGTTGACTCATGTTTTTATGTCCAAATAGCAAACAAAACATGCTGGCTGCATAGGTGGATCCAACATGCAGGCTAGTGACTTTCTAGCAGGAGCAGGTTAGTCAGGTTTGTGCACACTTACCAAAATGTCAGTGGTTTCCATTCATTCAGAGATGATATTTGACAGCTAGATTAAAGTAATTTTCTTTTTTATCTACTGCTATAGTTTTCAAAGATGTTTGATTCAGATTCTTTCTCCACATTTTATTTTAAAATATCATTTCATGCTTTTGTTTTTTTGTTGTTTTTTTCTTCAAAACATGAAGCTATAATAGAATATCTCTGTATCAAGAACGATTTAAAAAATCCTTTAAGCCACTGTAGTTCTCCTAAGATTTATATTGGCACAGATGACTACAGAACAGCATTTTTCCTTTCCATTCTTCTAGTTGTTAATTTGTAAATGATTTCATTCCTGTTCTTAAAGGGAGTTAAAAACAAAAGCAGACTTAAGGCTTGCAAGCTAAGGGGGTTTCCAGATAAAATCCACAAAGGTAAATGACTTCGATTTTGAATTTGCATATTTAAGTATCATTTAATATGTTGGTTTGCAGTTCTATTAAAAATTACCTTCTGTAAACACTGAGGTCTTACCACTTCTTAAGGTACACAAGAATTCTACAAAAGACAAAATACTTGGGAGATTTACACTGGTCATTTTCTTTTTCTCTTTTTTCATTAGGATGGACTTGCATGTCGAGCACAAAGAATACTGAAGTGTCATCACAGTGTAGCCATATGCTTGTTGAACATTCAGGGAAAGAATTCAATGTGTAAGTGAATCTTCGAACATACTTCTCTCAGTAGATCACCAACGTGCAATAAGGCATTTGAAACTCCTGTAACGTCACAATTTGCCATCTGTTAATGCTTGTAAGTGGAATCTGTGGAAAGCTTAAGGCCAGATGACAGGCATTTACACACAGCACAGTGACAACTCTAACATGAAACTAAATGACTTTCATGAAGAGAATGAGTAATTTCAGGCTGCAAGAAGAGATGAGTGGAAGATTGTATATTATTTTTTTTCACTTAAATGTTGTCATTAAAACAATATATACAGAAAGTAAACGAATGCATTTCAAGTAAAGCCAGATGCATTTTTTTAGTCAAGATGAGAATCAGGTTACAGCACACATCACTGCTGGTGAAAACATGAGCTCCTCTTCTAATTTTTTCTCTGTAAGTAGAGATGCATTGATTTTGTTTGTTAACTGTACAGGTGTACTGACAAAAATAAACATGGAATATTTTGGTGATCAAATTAGAAAGCTTTTGATCATCTTGGGAGAAGAATGCAGTAAAAGCAGCTCTACGGAGAAGGAGTCAGAGGTGCTGGTAGATGAAATGCTTAACGTGAACTAGCTATGTTGCTTATGGTCCAGAAAGACAAAAGTATCCTGGGCTGCTTCAAAAGCAGCAGGGTGAGGGAGGGGATTGTCCCTCTGTTCTGTAAGACCCCATCTGCAGCACTACATTCAGCTCCGGGCCCCCAGCACAAGTACATGGAGCTGCTGAAGCATGTCCAGAGAAGGCCACAAGGATCCTCAGAGGGCTGGAGCACCTCTCCTATGGAGACAGGCTGAGAGAGCTGTTGCAGTTGAGTCTGGAAAAGGCTCCAGAAAGATCTGATAGCAGCCTTTTAGTACCTAAAGGGGCCTCCAGTAAAGCTGAAGACAAACTTTGTCAGGGAGTGTAGTGATGGGACAGGGGAGAGTGGCTTTAAACTGAACAGGACAGGTTTACGTTGGGTATAAAGAAGAAATTATTCTTTATGAGAGAAGGGTGTGAGGCTAGTAGCTTCTAGTAACTTTCTAGTAGCTTTATTCAGCACCACTAGGAAGAAAATTAAGTTCTTAGAATACTGATTTCTGCAAGACATTTTGCTTACGAATTGGTCAAAGTGCTTCAAAGAGAGAGTAAAATAGAGAGCTTTAGATTCACTCAGGACATATTTTTCTTTAGGACCATTAAAAGCCCTATGTTATGGTCATGCTAGAGCTTTCTAGCTGCAGGAATACATGCACCCATAAGTATCAGCTCTTAAGGATCTGAGAATAAGAAACATTATACTCTTCATTATTCATATTTTCAACAAACAAAAATATAAAAATAACACATTATCTATATTACATGAACAGGTAGTAATTTTCTGTAAGTAGTAATTTTTGAAGGACATCATTGAACCGTTTTTTCCCCCTCCATTAAAATGTTAAATTCACAGTTCTCAGTTTTGAGAAAATTGAGAGATCTGTTCCTAATTTTCTGCTATTCGGGTACTTAGCTGTTACTGAGCTAAACGTTTTGAAAACACAAAGGCATTTGCTAGAAGAAACTTTTAACTTTTCATTCATGAATTTCCATGCCTCTGAATACTATTAATCTGAATTCTAACCTTTTCTTGTATCAGCCTCTGGAGATGAATTCCACATGACAACATTGCAGAAAACATGGTGAGCAGGTACTGCTGTATTTTGCATATTCCAGTTAGCAAGGAATTTAGTACAGCTGTTAATCCCACCTTCTCAATGACACTCTGGAAAGCACTGGGTGAATAACGGGTAATTCTGCATAAAGCCTACAAAAGCAAAACAGAAATCTTGTTATTTAATAGAATTTAACAGAGTTTTTAATTAAGAATTTATACCATTTCGTCATAAGATAAACATAAGGAGAAGGACTACTGTTTTTTGTTTGCTTGTTTAAGAGACTCGCAACTCTTCTAAACCTCTACATCCCACACAGCTGCAACTGAAATCCTTGGTACAACAACATTAATATCAAGTAGGGTCATGTCACTCTCTTCCTCCAGATGATAATGATGCAGCAGCATAGCCCGTGCTTGGAAATTCTATCGATACAGAATGTAGGCAATATTAGATAATACTGCACAAAAAAGGAGCACGGGTAACAGAAAATAAAGAGATGTCACACACCACAGAAATTCTGGTCACCCATAAGAGATCTTTATTCTACCTCTGTTTCTGGACACTATCTATAATCTGATACAGAGTATATTATCTGAACATTATTCAAAAGCCTCAGCTTATCTACTTTAGATCTAAATATTTGTTATGGAACACTATTTAGTACAGCAAACACAGAAACTCTTCTGCCAAATGGTAGATTTGGGACTGTTCTGTGTATACTGACTTAGCTACTCCTTAACAAAAATTCTCAAATGACCTTCACAGTGGATCAGCTTTCAACTCAAAGTATCTTTTAGCTTTCAGTGCTTCAGGAAGTGCAACCTTCATGATACTGTGACTGCTTTTGCTGTATTTAGATGAGGAAAATACAACTCCTCAGACACTTTGTCGTCTTTGCCTTGAACGCAGCATTAGGATAAGAAAACAGATTAGTTATTTGATTCATGTGAAAACTTGAATTGATTTCAGGCAACTTTCTTCTGTGAGCAGTAGTCAATATCATCATTTCTTTGCTCTCTCCTAGCCAGCTATATTTAGAAACTGCTGCTTACACAGCACCCATTCAGTAGCATGTTCTCATTTAAGAGGAGGAAAAAGAAAAAAGGAAGGAACAAAAGAGACAAACCTAAAACGTACTTCATTGATGCCATTCACCTACTCAATTCCCACTCCTCCTCGTCCTTTTTGGTCCTGCAATAATATTGATTGCAGCTTTTTCCTTGCCCCTCCTCTCTCCTTTTTTTTTTTTTCTTCTTAAAAGATAGGCATTCAGTCTTTGTTTTTGAGTACATCAGTGTCTATTTCCCCAAGAATACAATTCAATCATTCATGTCTAGCCAGAGTTCTCAAAATTAGCAGGCTCAAGGTATTTACTAAATCTATCCTCGAGGTTCATATTACTATAAATTGTTGAGGCCTAGAGACAAACTGTCAAAGCAAAAGGGGCAAAGTTGTTACACTAATATGGTGCTCCCAGAGATGCCAGTGCCTCAGCTCCCTGCTTCAGACTTGGTCAAAAAAGAGGTAACCACAGCCATAAGACCATTAGAAACCTCCAGGTAAATCCTGCGGAGACATGGCTGTCCAGTAAGACTGTATTGCAACTTCAGAGATGGGAGGAAAGCTCCATCCCACTAAAAGCAAAGGGTAGAAACTTTAAACTGCTGTTGTCATCGTGTGCTCTGTTGAGTGACTGAAATGACCACTTCAGCAGAAAATCAGACTGAGCTTTATGAGGGAGAGGAAATAGAAGACATATTCACATAAACCACTTTAGCAGATCTTAAGGAGGTAGTTGGGCAAAAATCTGGAAATGATAATAGGTAAGAGTAGAGGAGACCTTACATTATCCTCTGTCAGAAGCAGCTCTGAACAAGAAATGATTGCAGTGAGAGAAAGGCATTGGTAGAGCCTCTCCTGAAATGAACTTTGCCATCTTTGGTCTCCATCCAGTCTTCATACTGCACTTTTTCTCCCAGCAGCCCCAACCTTAACAGTATTTGTGCCTTATCCATTGCTTCCCAGTCTTATGTGCTATATAGCATCTAGGTAACGTTCATCCTTTCAGGATGCACTCTGTGCATCTCAAATTTGAGAATGAATGCTTTAATGCATCTGTGGTAACTAAGTCTCAGAAAGAAACTATTCAGCACCAATTATTTAAGAAAAGAAAGAAAACAATTTTGTTGAGCTCTCCCATATCTTTTTTTCCCCATGGAAGTGGCTTATGCTTCAAGTAGTTACTTCTCCAGCAGAAGCTATTTCTTAACATTAGTAATTATTTTTTAAAAAATGAGGATATAACTTTCAATATACTAGAAAAAAAATCCTGCTGCTAAGCTTGTTGGAATGTCATTTTGGCATCTTACTGAATTATTTCTATTCTGAGTTTAACAGAACAATAAATGATATCACTTTTGTATTATGTTTACCTAAGGCAGGCTGGACTACCTCATAGCGAGCAAAAACACTGAAACACAATCCCCATTTGCCACCTCTGACAGGTAGGACAACACAAAGTGTCATTTCTTGACTCTAGTGGCTGAGGACTGAAAGTCTTCCTGATATATTTTTGTTGCTGATTGAAATAATTGTAAGCAAAATCCCATAGTGCCTTACAGCTGATATACGTTGCAGCCGACGTGCTAGCTGCAGGTAAAGATATAGCACACATGTTTCTTCACATAAATGCTTTTTATAATGAATATACACGTCAATCAGGAATACATTCTTCAGGATAGATTTAAACAAGGCAGGAATGACAGCATGATAAAACATAATAGGACACATTATCATATGCAGAATAAATAATGCCTGCATACCTGTGGCAACAACACACTACAATGATATTTTATGAATGTAGAAAATAAATAGTATGATGCAACCTCAGAATGCATTAGCATGTTACTTCAAAGAATTGTATGTTACTTAAATCTCTATAAAATTCAACTGGGGAAAGAGCTACCAGTATTAGATTTCAATATCAATTGGTTATCTGAGCATTTTCCAAAGTTCAGATCATATGCTCAAACACCCCAGCTGTATTAATACATAGCCATGATTTATATTGGGTCTTGAACAATGATCATAATAAATAGAAGTCCAACCTCTTGTTCCTTTGGTATTTAACTGCAAAGCAGCAAAAGGATTAGAGGAACATCTTATGTAACTGGATGGGAACTGCTGAATCATAGCCTGAACCTCTGATTGACCACCTGAGGCAAGCAATAAGTCAGCCCTGGGAGCACAGGTGAAGGCAATTCAGCTGTGTGATGGAAGGGGTGGAGCCTGGCTGCACCTCTCCTAGATCCATTTAAGAGCTGACTGCCAGTAGGGAAGGATCTCTTCTGGAGATCCCTCCTCTTGAAGTCTTCTCAGCAAGCCCAGGACAAGGGTAAGCTTTCTATCTATTCTTCTTTGGTGTAAGAACCTGTTGAGCCTAACTTCCTGTATATTTCTTAATTATAACATTTGTATATTCATTGATTATATATGCAACATACAATAATTACATCTTAAACATTCAGTAAAGGGTGTACAATTCCCCAAAAAAGTAGAGGGGAAAATCCAGTAACAACTTCAGACAAAAAGTATCCTTACATGAAATGACATGTATGGAATGAGAAGATGGAATTTACTACATATAGCAACAACTGCCTGTAAAAGAAACAAAA